AAACAGCAGCGTGATGTCCACGTCAAATGTTTCGCCTCTATCCTTTGAATCGACACGCAGTTCCCATAATAGTTCCGACAGCAATGAATTCGTAACAGACAAGAACAATGCCGCTGTGTATCATAGTAATTTCGATCCTTTGTAGAAAGAACGGTTTGCATGTAGTCAATAAGAAGCAAGAATAATATAACATCGATGTAATATTTTGTTTTCTCAAACTCTTATCAAATCCTTAACTTAACGTTACAGCTAGGCGTTCTTCAGGTGAAATAGTTTCTCGGAAGTTACTGTACTTCTTCAACTGATATACTTTGCTTAATGTGTATTCAAATGTATCTTGCTTCATGCGAAAATAACCAAAATACTGTGACTCGTCCTCTTGTAAATCACTCCATATATGAGAAAATTCATCAAACGTTTGTCTTTTGATAAAATTCCACTAATCCACTCTTTTCTCCTATTCTGTGCTCGTCACCTAGCCAGTAAAGGAGTATCAAACGCGTACAGATCACATAAATCTTCAGACAGCGCCATGACAGAACGCGAATGGCATCGGCCGAACACGCAGCCAAAGGACGCGCAGTGAACGCACGAATTCGGACGAACAGATTCGCACAGATTCGGCCGAATCCCAGTTCGCAGCTTTCCGCTTCCAACGGACGACTAGCCTCACTCATTGGAAATCTTACACGTGGCATTCGTACGGCACGTATCTCACGGCTTTCGCAATATTTACTACGTAAGAATCAGGGACTACAAATTTCCAGTGTAACTGCTGAGATGACAAAGGATATCCGTTTCCGTGATTCAGAAACACAGACGCCAGTGGATAAGACAGGAACATTTTGCAGACGTCCCTTTCAGAATGACTTTCACTCAGACCGTGGCTCTTTCAAAAACAGAAGTTCTGTCTCCCACATTTTGTTAATCTGTGAGAAGGATCTACGTGTTGGAACAAACAGAAACTGCTGTGTTGGTGCTCATTGCGCCATTCATCATCAGAATCTCAAACTGTAGGTTCCAGGCCTGCAGCATATGGCGTATATTGCCACATCCAGTGTCTTCATTTGTGGTACTCAAGTAGAGGATTAGCTTTATATTTATGCTACCCTTTAATTGCGACCTTGTCACAAAACATGCGTAAAATGAACGTATTGGGAAATAGTGTCTGCCTCGTCGTCCGCGTATTTCGTCTAAGAAACTACTGGACGAACCTGGGGACAAGGTTAGTCCTCTGAAGACCAGAGCACCAACATAATTACAGTCACTTGAAGGCGGATGTAGAGTCAACTGCCGAAATTTTGCAGGTAACAGGCAGTGTCGAAAACAATATATGCCGTATGAGGAAGCAACCAAGGTCATCTCCTCCCCCACACCCTCATGGGGTGAGACTGAGGTCACTTGGTACTGCAGTCACTGTTTGGCCTATTGTACCAGCCCTGGATGATAGATGATGACGATTGTGAAGCAATTGGTGGAATGAGAATTGGCAGGAGAAACCGAAGTAAATTTGATTTGTTTCATTCTGGTCCGTCACACTAACAATTATAAATACAAACCACTCCGTCCAACGTGACATGTAAGTTTTTACTACGTTAAAACTTAGCTCCCTTAGGATGATAGGAGTACGGACACGAACCTGCGTGGTTTAAAAAATTTTAACTATTGACAATAAAGGTTTTTTAAATAACATCAAGAAACTTTTAAAAACTTTACAACACCAGGAAGCTGCTGTGATTGTGAAACGTTCGACTTTATGCGTACTGTGCATTATAGGATATAAGTGTATGTATTTTATATCAAAACACCTATTGTGATGGTAGTTTCCAGTTTGTAATGATGTTCCCCCTGAAGATGACCCGTAAGGACCGAAACATGTAAGGGAGATAAGTTTTAACGTAGTAAAAACTTACATGTCACATTGGACAGAGTGGTTTGTATTTATAAAACCGAAGTACTTGGAGAAAACCTGCCCCAGTGCCATTTTGTCCACCACAAATCCCACACGACGTAACATGGGTTAGAACCCGGGCCGCCGCGGTGGGAAGCCGGCGACTAACCGCCTGAGCTATGGCACAGCCTTAAAGTCACAAATATTGAGAGAATCGTTAGATAGAGTTGAACAGTCAGCCCTATTTCTGACGAGCGGATAATTTGTAAAATTTTCATACATGAACAGAGGGTTACACAGACTTCAGCATTACTACTGAAAGTACTGTAACGTATTCGGTGTCTGCGTGACTAATAACATAGGTTTTGGATTTGATGATCGAATTAATTGGACTTTTTTAAAACTGTTTACAGCAGTTAACAAATCACTGCCATCTTCTTCCGAGTGGACACTCCACGGGAACTATTCTGACTTCCAACTGAACTTCCTCAATTCTGATCCACCAAAGTCAGAGTCACTTTACGACTGGCGGTTTACCGCCAAGCAGTTCGTCTTGGCGTCAAACCTCTTGAAACCCAAGACCCACGATCAGAGATTTTTTCAACTGAACTCTTGCAGTAAGTCCATTTGTAACATCCTCTCTGAGGAAAGGATAGGTTTGTCTTTTGTGAATATGTTTGGGCTTTCATCAAGTGTATATTTCTCACATATAACATGTTATTGAAAATTCTTCCTTTTAGCACTACACACAAGTCCTCTGTCAGTAGAGGCTTTACAGAGCATACGAATGCCTGTGTTATGTATCTTATGCTACAACGGCAGCTTAGTTACTTGAACTGTCGTAAGCTTGACCACCGCCAAGTTTAAGCCTCTTATATTCTTCTGATCTACAACTATCTTCTCTACTACTTATTAGCCTCGAGGCTGGCCAATAGGAAACAAATCCATTTTCTAGCATTGGACATCTACTGCTGTCCGTTACCTATCAATGGAGGTCTTTCTATTGTTGAGCGCTCCTGTTGCGGGAATGATTTTTACCGAGTCGTTGCCTAATAATGGGTCTACATGTCACAGTATTAAACGCCCTGCCTGGAATTTGTTAGTATCTGAAGCTTACCTGAGGAGCTGTGTCCGACGTCACATCTTCTGGAAGGTGGCTCAAGAAGTTGGCTGGTACGAATCCCACAGAATCAGTCTTCAATGCCCGAACAGCCCACCAGGACACGTGCTCTTCCTTGCTCAGGACCTTCAGACAAAAGAGTCACATTCCACATTGCATAGAGAAGTTACGAATTTATAATCTGAAGAGCGGAAACCATTAATATACAAACCTGAACTGCAATTTTAAACTAATTACCTCCCACGTAACCCGAGCATATATGCGCACAAACAACACACATTTAAAAGGAAGGATTTTATACGTTCCCCTAATATAAAATAATCTACGACTTTGAATGTTTCTAGATAATTCGTATATCAGAATTTCTTCTCCTAACCAGTTCGAACAGTCCTACACTTCCTAACCATTTCAAATAGGAGTGCACAATTTTACTTTCTCTGACTCTCGCTTCTACTTAGGCAGTGAAGAAGTGGCCGCGCCATAGCTCAAGCGGTTAGTCGCTGGCTTCCCACCGCGGAGGCCTGGGTTCAAACTTGTGTCTGGTCAAGTGGGATTTGTGGTGGACAAAGTGGCGCTCGGGTAGGGTTTCTCCGAGTACTTCGGTTTCCCCTGCCAATCTTCATTCCATCAAATTCTCCATCATCATAATCACCCGGGGCAGGTACAATAGGCTAAATCAGTGACGCCGTGCCGAGTGGACCCAACTGGACTCCACCCCCGACTACGTGAATTAAAAGAATTAGGTAGTGAAGAACGAAATAAAACAATACCCATTTTTTAACCATCCTGGTTCGAGTTTTAACATCTCCAATCCCAGTCTGTAGAAACACCTGTAGAATCGTGTATGAAAGTAAGTACGCTAATGAGATCACTAGTCTGCCGACGAGTTCATGTGTGTTCAACTTCTGAACCATTTCTCCGAACTTCAAGATACTTGACATGAACGCTATGCCACTGGGGGCAATCTCACACTGTGGACACGCAAATTTATGTGGTGGAAGCAAAACTAGCAGCGCTTCATTTGGGATTCTGAACAAATCAACATTTCTTTAGGTATTTTTTGTGTGTAGAAGGCACGTCGCGCGAACATTTTCTTCACACATCGCTTTGACAGCGATAACGAACCACTGGAGCTAGACAGACAAAGATGGAACATAAACGTATTTAAACACTTCAGCAACAATTTCAAAGATGGTTGCTGTGAGAAACTAAAAAATATGTAATAAAGTAACCATAATAACCAGGGCCCGGATTTTGATGACCTGAAAATATTTAAAAAATGACCTATAAAATGACCGAAAAAATAAAAAAAAATACCTAAAATATGACCCAAAAATGTAATATGCAGGGCCGGAATTTTAATGACCTGAAATATTAAAAAATGACCTATACAATGGCCGAAAAAAATCCAGAAAAATGACCTAAAGGAGAAAAGAAAGAACACTTCGCTTCCATGTCATTCACATTTCAGAAAACATATGAAGAAAAATTCCCTAAAATGGCCAAAAATGACAAGAAATACCCTTAAAAGTCCAAAAATTTACCAAAAAATTACCCCCCAAATAAAAAAATGACCTTAAACCTAAAATGTCAAAAAAATGACAGAATATTACCTATAAAATTTACATTTCTGTAACCAGCAGCTCATATCCGAGATTTATATATTTAAGGGCATCGCATAGGATACAAGGAAAAAAAGATGACATGTTATCAAAATCCGGGCACTGATAATAACAGTAACCAATAGATTTGTATGAGTATATAGCTACGCAATAGGAACGTAAGCTTTATGAATCCTGCTCGGAACTCCTCGTTTTTTACATGTTCTAGGCCTCCCCATACTTTCATTTTAGAAGATAATTTTAGTTCACTTCATTTTTGCCTTCGAGCTTCGAAGGCCCTTTTTGTAAACACACATTCTATGGGTAAGGTAAAAGTAAAGTTGTCCTTAATTAAACATTAGGTCATGAAGACGTATGGGAGAGTGGTATAGCTCCACCATTCTTGACCTCGGGACTATATGGTGGCGAGTGGTCAGCTTTATGCCCCTGCGCTTTGCTCCCAAAGAAAGATCCCCCGTTACCTACTGGAAAGGAGGATAATTGGGCTCCAGAACGGGTCTGGACGCTGTGGAGAAGAGGAATATCTTGCCACGCCGGAATCGAACTCGAGCCATCTAGCCGATAGTCCGTTCTCTATACCGACTGAGCTATGGGTAATATTTCCTGTCTTTTGTGGAAATGAAGAAAGGCCCAAAAAATAAAACATTTTAGTTGCTTCCAACTGCATAAACTAGCTCTTATGAACACAATTTTAATAATCGGCTGTTATAAACTCAAAAACACAATTAATTTTATTCCCCTCCATTTTTTTCTGAGACTTGAAGTTCAGCAAATATTCTTGAGCATGGTTTTAGTCTCCCTAATACTGAGAAATCCACTGTTCTCTTTCTCTTGAAAGAGACAGGCGATAGTAAATCGTTATTATTCTTTTCCGTTCTGTTTTCCAGTTTAAATTTGAAAAGATGCGAATTACAGGAGAAAACAGCTGTTCCAAGATTTGAACTTATAAGCGTGTCCGGGATTGATTACAATACAATTTTCAGATAATATAAAGATGAATGAGAATTTAATTCACTGTGTCTCAGCACTAAAAGTGTACAGCTCTGCACTAAAGATATTCAAGTTTCTCCGGGAAAGAGGGAGCAACTGCAGTTCGGCGCTCTCCAATTAACGAAACCACTTGACGAAGTAAGATGTGCCAGCTTCAGAAGAATGGCTGCGGAATAATTAGAGTATCACGTCAGGGTTAGAACTACCTTCCTTGTTAGGTTTGTGCTGTGGTCCTGAAAGAGTACAGCGGGGCAAATACGGGGGGGGGGNTCAGTAAATATGTCACAAATGAATATAAAACGTAAAACATGTTATATTCGTATATGGACAAAACAGTTATTTCTCGGCATACCCGCCACCAACACTTTTTCTAGTGGGGTTATGTGAAGAGCATTGTTCATCAGGTTAAGCTCAACGAGCGTCAACACTGAACGCCCAAATAAAGGACGCCGTGGCTACGGTAACACCAAACATGCTTCAAGCAACGTGGAACAAGTTTGAATATCGTCTGGATATACTGTGTCCTGCCACCAAGGGAGCCCACATTGAAATTTAGTGAGAAAGTTACATATTCAGAAAAAAACTTGATAGTTTCCCTTTGTAACGGTGTAACCCATAAATATGTTAAAAAGAGCTTCTTGAGATATAATTATTTTATTTTGGATATATTTCATCCGGACAGCCTGTATATCTCGGTAAGTATGGAAATTCATTTGCCGATCACAGTGGCCGCTCGGTCTAGGGCATGAACTGTCTTCCCCCGCTCAAACACTGACGTCGTGGGTTCGAATCCCACTCAAGGCATGAATGTTTGTGTGTGTGTTTACTCTGTGTTTGTGTTCTTCTGCGTGTAGGTAGCGGCCTTGCGACGGGCTAATCCTCCGTCCAAGGAGTCCTATCGACTGTGTATGGATTAAGAAACTGAAATAAAAAGAAAGCAGCCAAAGTCCACAAGGGCTAAGAGCCATACAGAAAGGAAATTCTTTTATCATGTGAGCTTCTCTTTAAATTTATCTATTTCAGTATTTTAGTCTGAATTGGGCAACGTAGACCATTTCTTTATATGAAGACCTAAAACTTGAATATTACATTTTTTGGATGAAACAGTCTTCCGAAACTCACGCACATACCGTCTTCAAATGGGAACCATTCAATATTCTTTCATTCCACTACAGTGTTAAGAGAAGAAAAATGGGGAAGAGGGCAGAATCTGCCTCTTAGTCTTCACAGAAAGTTACGTATGACGCTGGGGTTTACAATAAAATCGCTGTTCCAAAGAAAAAATAACCGGAGAAACAATTCGACTTTCCAACTACCGGTACCAGGTTCCCAGGAGTGGAGAGAATAACGAGTTTTTAGGAAGTATTATCAAAATTATTCTAATAGGCTACTACCAAATTTATAGCTGTTACGAGTACTGACTAACCTCAAAAGTGTCTCCTTCGTCAAATGCAAGAAACAATTTCATTTGTAACTGCCTTATGCACGGAGTTGAAATTGCCGCCAGTGAATGTTCTGACTGCGAACTCTGGCAAGACGAGCTTGAACATTTATTTGACTCACTCTCTGCATCTTCACTAACCGATTCCTTTGAAACATTCGGCTCTGAGTTACATTTTTCAAGTTTGACACTTAAAATAGGTGATCTTAAAATTGCGTCCGATGCCATCTTGGCAAAGCACTTATTGAGTTTCACCCACTGATCAGTTATAATTTTGTTATTATTATCGTTTACACTTCTCGTTGGACTAGGTGAATTTGAGGTTGATTCTGTTGATTGAAGTTCATAAACACTACATTCTTCTAACCCTCGAAATGAGTATTTTGCTTGATATACTTCACTCATTGTGACGTCACAATCAATAATCACAGTTGTAAGGGTGCACAATAGCTTGAGTTTCAAGTGGTTGATTTTGATGTTTTGAGAGATGTGGCGTCTCATTATACTATATGGAACAACATTCTGCTTAACTTCTTAAAAGCACACAAACTTCGATAAATTACCTCTCCATTTTCACCGGCGAATCATTCTCGCACATGTGACAACAAAACGCGACACTAGCCCTCCACAGTGCCCTCTCGCGTGCTTAATCGGCAACTGCAATAAGAAAGGAGCCAATAAAACCCGGATCCGCAGCACTCAACAAGGGTCTCCCACAGATACACCCCACCTTTTATTGAAAACATCTGCCATCTGCTGCACAGCAACATAACTAGCGTGAGGGATGTTTTTATTACAGATCGATGTTGAAATTCGTCCCAAAGGCACTTTTTGTGCCTTCCACAATTTCTTCTAGTAGTTACTCACTTTCCTGGTGCACAGGAAATGAAAAATTCATCCTTGTGTGTGACTGCATTTAATTTACCTCTGAGATGTGTACAAATCAACAACTGTGTCTTTTAAAACTTCCTCATTTTATAATGAAGGGATGAAGTTCCTAACATAATCGTTATACATTCAAAATAAAACATTATTTAAGTTCAGTATATTTCAATTCAAATGACACAGCAAGAAAACATGCATTTTTTCCTTTTATTGGTTTATCTGCTCTTTTAAAAAATAGTGTTCTTTCCTCAATTCTCCCTTCTGTCTACTTCTGCTGTTACCATGCAAATGCATAGAATCAGCATTCTGTAATAATTGACACTTAAAATAATGTCAATTGTTAAAACATATGCAGTACCAAATAATACCTATCTCTCCATAGAAGATGTCTCAGCAACTTAAACAAATTAAGAAACCATTTTGTGAGTTCTTATATACTACTGGTCATACATTAAGGGTCATATTCAGCTTCTGTTCCATGTCATTACTTCATTACACAGGTTGAATAAATTCACTCAATTATCCTTGAATTTCAAATGACATATACTTCCCAAGTAGTAAACCCTTCGCAAAATTTTGATTAGATACACTCATTCCACAGGCCTTAAACATGAAATAACACGGTGATTAATTAAGAGTGTTTAAAAAAAAGAGAAAAATATCGGGTCTGTGTTGAGAAATACGGCCTCAAAACATTCCCTTCTTTACAATGTGCTGTATGTAATTTTGTTGCTTTGTTTACAATCTCCCATCATACAAAATTGAATGTAGAAGCTACAATGGTTCATTGGCTAAAGTTAGTGTTGTCCCTGTGCTTAATCAAGCACCATGCCATGAAGACTGTTAACCTTGTACTACATGGAGGTAAATGGTTGGTTTCACATTATCATCGAATTGAAAATATCTCATATGGTTCACACACTGTAATTTTCCATCATAGATAAAGGCCATGTTTTCAAATTCTATTGTATCACATCAATTTTTCAGATCCTGCACATTTTCTTGATCTCAGCACTTGTTGAAGGTGAGTTGAAAAGAAGGGAGAAAAAATTGAGGAGTAAAGGAATCATCAAAATCCATGATCAATATTATTTTTAAAAACAACACAGTGATTAGAATTTTGGTTATTGAACTTTTAAACACAATGCTATTATTGTTCTTTTTAACAATAAAATCTCTCCTTAAAAAACCGATGGTGTTCCTTGACAATTCTAGCGTCTTTTTCAATGTGCTGTGAGTTGAAAAAGGTTGAAAAACTCTGCTCTAGGCAAATGCCAGGACAGTACCTCAATTAGGCTCTGATTCTACCCTTTCACATCCTTACCAAATATGATGCTATTAATTCACTTAGTGATGGGTGGAGTCCAAATGGGTCCACTCGGCACGGCGGCCACTGATTGGCCTATTGTAGCCTGATGATGGAGAATTTGGTGGAATGAAGATTGGCAGGGGAAGCCAAACTACTCAGACAAAATCCGCCACAGCACCACTTTGTCCACTACAAATCCCACTTGACAAGACTAGGATCGAACCCAGGCCGCCGCGGTGGGAAGCCAGTGACTAACCACTTGAGCTATGGCGCGGCCCAATTTTGCTTGTTACTGTTATCATCATTAGAGACATTTCTATGTTTGGTGCCTGCTTTTCTAGCAAGAACTGTCCTTCTGCTAGAGGCAGTTGAACTGCCAATGCTCTTTATGGTAAGAAAGATAAACCTTCTATCAAATGTGTCACTAATAATTTCATTCCACAACTATCTTATAGAAGAAACATAACTATAATACAGATCAATGTAAACATAGTAGTGGAAAATCTGAGTTAGTGTCATTGATAGTAGAAGCCTGTAAGACATTACATTCCAGCCTTAAAACTGAATATACCATAAGAAAACTCACATACTACAGCAGGCATGTCCAACGCATCGATCGCGGGATGATTTTTGGTCGATCTCAGACGCCTATAAGGGAATTATACGTGAAAATCATGTAAATTCACTTGTAATATATGATTATATTCAGATTTTGAAGGGACAGTACGTATTAAAGTAGTCTGTACTTTCAATGTATGTTGCTTTTACAACAAACATCATATGTCGTGTTATTTTTACCAATATTTTTGCTTAAAGCTAGGTATGACCATAGGAGGGGGTGGTAGATCACTGGCAGTTTTGACACTAAAAAGTCGATCACAACCTGTTTGAAGTTGGACATGCCTGTACTACAGTATAGGTAGGCAAGCTGTCCGCATCTTCCTTGTTTGGACCACTGTGCCATCCAGCATGTTTTAAAAGCAAACTTTTCATGTTCATTTCATCTCTCCATCCAAAATTCATGCCACCTAGATATGCAACACAAACATTCAACTGAATTCAAGATGATACGACAGGGTTTGGGATCAATGAATGCTAATAATGGAAGACAATGAAAGGATTGGGGTTAAACAGTTCCTCCTTTAACTAACTCTTCCAGTCAGATTACTAATCATATTTATTCTTGATTTTAAACTCATGTATGATGATGATGACATTTACAAAATTCTGGAAGATTACAATGAAAATGTCCCAAGTTACATTGGCACAATGCTCACTCTAATCAATAATATTAATATTAATTATAGGAATTGCAATTACGATTTATATAGCCAGAAGTGGTGTTCCTTTCTTGCCTTTGATATTCAGTACATAAGTTCAGGAAATTAAAGGTCATTAAAAATATTACTATATACCAATACCAAAAAATCCATTTATCAATTTCTTCTATTATCTCAGTGACTTCTTCAAGTGTTTCTAAATTCATTTATTTATTGTCTGTGTGTGGTTTCCCATTTTAAAAATCTCAAAATATAAATAACTTTATTTCACAGTTCAAAATTAACATTAGCCATGAGCAATGGGGTTCATTATAAGCAGCTGGAAAATAAAAATTAGTAACCATACTTAGAGTCAACAGCATTATGTCCTTCAAACAATATAATAAATCATATTAATGATCATTTCGGTGCTCTATCCCCACAGCGACCAGACAATTCTATAAAACAAAATCACATCTGGTGATGACTAGTTTTGATGATAATACTACTAATGTGTATGTATATTTATATACAGTATATAGTCTTAATAATATAAATATTTACACTTGACTCAACCACAGAGTGACAAGATTATTCATAACTGGTCTAGACTGGCATGCCAGCCCACATTTCAAGCTGTAAATAATGTTTGAACAGAACACAATTTTCCTACAATGTGAGCTGTGTACTCAAAACTATTAGTGATATGATCATTGTTCTCTCCGAATATGTTTCTACATTCTCTTTGATGTACTTCATAATATAAAAATTAACAGAATAAGTTCACAAAACACATAGATTTTCTACATGAGATCTGAGGTTTTCATACCAGTGAACATTCATTTTGTGAGCTTCTCGATTATGACACCATTTGGTCTAGTTAGTGGGGACTGCTGTTTTTGAGGAACATACTGACTCCATCTGGGGGCATGTGGTAGCATAGTTGATTGAGGCACTATGCTACAAGCTGGAATATCGCGGGTTCAAGTCCCAATGAGGTCACTGGATTTTTTTCAATTGACCTAATCCTTCCAGCCGCACTATGGCCCTGAGGTCAACTCAGCCTCTAACAGAAATGAGTACCAGAAATATTCTTGGGGGTAAAGGGCAGCCGGCATGTAAGGCTGACAAACTTGCCACCATCTATGAGCTGATGGCTGCATCATAGCTCAAGCAGTTAGTCACTAGCTTCCCACCGCGGCAGCCCGGGTCTGATCAAGTGGGATTTGTGGCAGACAAAGTGGCGCTGGGGCAGGTTTTCTCCGAGTACTTCAATTTCCCCTGCCAATCTTCATTCCACCAAATTCTCCATCATCATAATCACCTGGGGCAGGCTACAATAGACCAATCAATGGCCGCCATGCTGAGTCAACCCAGTTAGACTCCACACCCCACTAAGCGAATTAAAAAAAAAAATTTAACCTATGAGCCGATTGTCTAGAAAATGTGGGAACCTCAACTTCTCACAACCCTATGGGCCTCCATGACCTGTAACAGGGATTCCTTTACTTTTTATTTTTTGCCGACTATGTCTACCATGAAGCTGGAGATAGAACATACCTCAGAAACAGTGGTACCTGCCTACTAAACTACATGGTGTCATAACCCAAAAGACTTTAATATGTATCACAGCTCTAGTGTAACTTTTTCCATGCAGATTCATACTTAAAGAAATATATCTGTCAGTATATTTCCATTGTAATATATAATTTCCACTGTTGGCCCAAACACAGCTGTAACTGTAAACAGATGACAAGATATGTCTCTTTCATTGATCTGATGAAGTGTTCTGAACCCAAATTATACTGTGAAGTAAAATATCTAAATTCTCTATCATAAAGCACTAAAATTATGTAGATACAGATAATTAAATTCTTAAATAAACATGCCATTTATGGGATATACACACTATGAGGACAAAGTTTTTTTAAGAAGAAATGAATTTTGTTAGTAAAAGTTTTTCATGCTGGCAGCCATTTGCTGTGAAAAACTGTTGGTTCATGGACTGGCAATAGAAAAACGTTGATCAAAAGCGACAAATAAATTCAGACCAGAATATATGAAGCATGCAATAAAAAGGGCTAAATACATATAATCTTGTACAAAATGACAAAGGAATGGAAAGGAAACAAGTGCTCTGCTTTGCCATCCAACATTCACGTTCATGATAATGAA